AAAAAGCCAGAAGTGGCGCTGTGGCTCAAGTGGTAGAGCGCTAGCCTTGAGCTGAAGAGCTGAGGGACAGCGCCCAGGCCCAGAGTTCAAGCCCTAAAACCGGACAAGAAAGAAAGAATGAAAGAAAGAAAGGAAGGTCCGGGAGACTCTTATCTCCAATAAACCACTAGAAAACCTGTGGCTCAAGCGGTAGAGCGCTCGCCTCAAGCTGAAGAGTGCAGGGACAGCGCCCAAGACCAGAGTTCAAGCTGCACAACCGGCAGAAAGCAAGGAAGGAAAGAAGGAAGGAAGGAAAGAAGAAAGGAAGAAAGGAAGGAAAGAAGGAAGGAAGGAAGGAAGGAAGGAAGGAAGGAAGGAAGGAAGGAAGGAAGGAAGGAAGGAAGGAAGGATTTTGAAAAGTGGGCATCTAGAAGATTGTAGTTCAAGGCCAGCCTGGGTGGAGACCCTATATAAAAATTAAACTAGGGGCTGGGAAGGTGGCTCAGTGGTCAGAGTGCTTGCCTTGCATGCCTGAGGCCCTGGGTTCAATTCCTCAGCAATACATAAGCAAAAAGAAAAAAGCCAGAAGTGGCATTATGGCTCAAGTGGAAGAGCGCTAGCCTTGAACTGAAGAGCTGAGGGACAGTGCCCAGGCCCAGAGTTCAGGCCCCACGATTGGACCTCCCCCCCAAAAAAATTAAACTAAAGCAAAGAGGAGTGGAGGCATGGCTTAGGGAGTAAAAGGTCCCCAAATTAAACTCCAGTACTGCCAAAAAAAAAAGAAGCAGAGCATTCAAATTCATGACCCAAGGAAAAAAACTTTGTTTCATCTTTAGGGGAGATGGATTGTGCTAGAAGTGGAGGGGGAAGGGCAGGTGACAGAAGATAGCTGGGGACCGGGACAGGGATCATGACACAGCTGCTGGGTGTTGGGTTTGGAGATGTTTGCACATCTGACCTGGCTGAGTGAGGAGACACGGGGGAGTCAGGAGACGGGGGGAGTCGGAGGAGAGGGGCGCCAGGTTCCAAAGCTGGAAGTCAGAGAGGAGAGGACCCTAGGACCACTGATTTGTGGGGTTCACAGTGCAGCAAAGCTATTCATCGTCTTCTTTCTTGGTCCCACAGGCCATGAAGGACGAGCCCATCTGAACGGTTTCTGACTCCTTCCGCTCCCCACCCCCAGCTTGCGGGAGAAGATGACCCATGGGCTGCTGGCCAGCCCCCCTCCCAGCCTTTGCCAAAAGAAGCCAGAGGGGAGAGAACTCACCAGACTCGGCTCCTCGAAGCAGTTGATTTTTGGAGGAAAAAAAAAATATATATATATATATATATTTATATTTAATGTAAACAAATTTTGTAGTAGCTGACTTAAACAACCAGATGCATAGAACATGGAGCAAAACTATGTCAGGAGGCTGAGATCTGAGGCTCGCAGGTCAAAGCCAGACCAGGCAGAATAGTCCATGAGTTTCATATTCCTAACAGACTAGCAAAAAGCTAGTAGTGGAGGTGAGGCTCAAGCCTTAGAGGCCCAGACTTCAAGCCCCTGTACTGACACCAAAACACATAACAACAACAGCAACAAAGAAAACCAACAGCAACCAAAAATAAATCAATAAAAACCCAACTCTGTCAACTGATTTAGAACCAAGAAAATACGGTTCTGCTGATGGTAGTCTCGCTTCCCTTTGGCTGTTCTGTGTTATTGTTGACATGTGCAGGAATCTGAAGCTGTTTATGTTCATGGAGTCCTGGGGCCCCGTGTGACGTCAGTAGATAGCTCAGGCACCGTTTCCAGTTGCTGTTGAAATCTACACATTCCAGCCCCGTGGGGTCCATTTGGGGAAAACCGATAGGATGTAGATAATCAAGAAGAAAACGTGCACTTGGACAATTATGCGATGAGCAACTTCTTTGAGGGGGGTCCAGATGGATCCCTTCAGAATCATCCATCTGGTTTCCCAGCCACAAGTCGGTACTTGGGTGAAGGTACTTTGTTCCTCACAAGATCACCTAGCAATCATGAGGCCAGTGATGACCAAAGCCAGTGTCACCTGCTCGCTCTAGACAACCAGAAGCACTCTCTCTTATGGCAATGATTGGCTGCTTTGTCCTGCGAAGCTCTCAGTCCCAGACACGAAAGCCAATGGGTGTTCCCATGATGCCAGAGACTTGACTCTTCTAGAACCAAGCACCACACAGCAAGAGGCCCTAAAATTCGCCTGACGTGGTGGGGGTGAAGAGGGACTTGTGTTTTGTTTTATTTTGTTTCGTTTTTCTTTTTTGTTTTTTTGACGGTCGTGCGTCTTGAACTCTGGGCCCAGGCGCTGTCCCTCAGCTCTTCAGCTCAAAGCAAGCATTCTACCCCTTGAGCCACAGTGCCATTTCTGGTTTTCTGGTGGTTTGTTGGAAAGAAGAGTCTCATGGACTTTCTTGCCGGGGCTGGCTTTGAACCATGATCCTCAGATCTCAGTAGCTAGGATTACAGGAGTGAGCCACCAGCTCCTGGCTTTTGTTTTGTGTTTTTTAATGCTTGCTCTCTCTGGAGGACAGAAGGGAAGAGTTTTAAAATAATCTTATACAATACTAATACCTTTAAAGCAATCTGATTTACAGAAGACCTGCTTTTCAAAATAAAAGCTATTCCCAGTCCTTACCCTATGAGGCCCTGTTGAAAAGATCAAAGTAAAATGTCTGCCTCTGTCCCTTCCCGCTCGGGGCCGCTCTTCCTCTTTGGAGTTTGGTATGGTTTGGGTTTGTTCTTCCCATGTCAAACTTTTGCACCGCCCAGACACCGTGTCACGACCGCGATTGCACACCCCGATATCCTCTGAACTAGACCAAGGGCATCACACAGGAAAAAATAACCCACTCGGCAGAAGCCCGGCCCGCCTCCCTCCTGGCGTGGCTGTGCCTGGATGTTATTCTAAACAACGCATCCCTATCCGTGGGTCCTCACAGCCAGGGTGGGGGCTAGACGGGGGTCCGTTGATGTCATCCAGATTCCTGAGCGAGAGTTAGGAAGAGTATTGATCCGTTTCTTCTGTCCCAGCCTTTCTTTCCTCTTCCACCTCCTACACTGGACCTGGAGCCTGCTGGCACAGGCTGTGGATTCGCAGTCTCACCTGAGCAGTGCAGACACATTTTCCAATAAAACATGATCATGTACAAAGCCTGAGTCAGACCTCTGATTGGAATCTGTGTGTGTGTGTGAGAGAGAGAGACAGACAGACAGACAGACAGACAGAGAGCATGCATATGTGTATGCTGGGTGTTGTCCTTTAGCTTTTTTTTTTTTGCCCAAGGCTGCTGTTCTATTCCTTGAAAGCTCCACTTCTAAAAGAAAATTTTGAATGAAAAACTTTCTAAAAAGACAGATTACACCTAGTTTCTTAGCTAACTAGGAGACTGATTGCTGAGGATCAAGGTTCAAATCTAGCTGTGGCAGGAAAGCCTATGAGATTCTTCTCTCCAAATAACCAAAAAGACCATACGTGGAAGTGTGGCTCAAGTGGTAGAGTGCCAGCCTTGACTGGAAAAAGCCAAGAGAGAGTGTAAGGCCCTGAATTCAAGAGCTAGTCCAGCACACAAAATAATAATACTAATAGTTAAAATAAAGGTTTGTTTTTTGCCTCTATTTTTTTGGGGGGGGTCCGGTCGTGGGGCCTGAACTCTGGGCCTGGGCGCTGTCCCTCAGCTCTTCAGCTCAAGGCTAGCGCTCTACCACTTGAGCCACAGCGCCACTTCCTGCTTTTTTCTTTTTGCTTATGTGGTGCTGAGGAATGGAACCCAGGGCCTCAGGCATGCAAGGCAAGCGCTCTACCACTGAGCCATCTTCCCAGCCCTCTATTTTTTTTTTTCTTTTAACCAGAGAGAACCATGTGGAAATGAAGGCTAGTCCTATTTCATGCGCTTCTTCTAAGAACCAGCTCTAGCAAAGAGAAAATGGATGAGGAACCTAACCTGCTGACTCTATGATTGTTCCCACTTTTTATTATTGCATGTTCATTGTTCAGTGTCAGAAAGGGTCCTGCAGTGATGCTTCTACACATGCCTGTAATGCACTATTATACCTCCTTCTCTGACCCTCGCCCTTCTTATGTCTCTTGAATGTGTATATGTATGTATGTGCTACTCAAGGTGAGCACCCTACCACTTGAGCAATAATTCCACTTCTAGTTTTTTTCTAGCTAATTGAAGAGTTTCATGGCTTTTCCTGCCCAGGCTGGCTTTGAACCATGATCCTCAGATCTCAGCCTCCTGATTAGCTAGGATTACCAGCGTGAGCCATTTGTAAGTGCATTTTGTTATGCTCTTTTCACTCTCGTAGGCATGAATATTCTCCCTTCTAGTCCTCTCTTCTCCCCTCACACTCTCCACCATCCCCGCCCCCCGCCGACCCCGCACCCTGTAACCACTCTCTTACATTCATGCCCAGTTTTTCTACACATGAGAACGTATAGGCGATTCGTCTTCCTGTGGCTCCATCTTTCCTTCGCTCTCATTTATGTGGTAGTCAGGGTGTGTTCGGGTGCTTGTGAGAAATGCTCCGATGGGGGCTGATGGAGAGCTGGAGATGAAGAGTTTGGGGGGTGTTTTGCCCGTGGAGAGGGGTGTAGCAGGGCGTTAGCACGCAGAGGGACTCGGCTCTGGAGCCTGGCCCTGTGCGGGGCTCGGATGCTGAGCAACTGCCGCCCGTGTTGACCTCACTCAAGCTTGCAGTCGCTTAGAAGACGCGGCGTTGTAATTCCACGCGGTGCCCATGGGGGACTGGGGTTGCTGGACAACTGCACAGAATCCACTCGAAATCTTGGGGTGGCATGGGGGCCCCCACTGGGATGAAGAAGGTGTGATTTGTGGTCTGTGGCCCAGGTGACAAGGGAGAGGCTGGCACAGGCCAAGGGCCATCAAAGGTTCCCTCATCTTAGTGGCTGAGCTCTAGTTCCGTGCCCCAGGGCTCCAGCCAGGGAATCCACCACCCTGACCACGTGCCTCCTCCCTCCCTTCCTCCCTCCTTTCTTCTTTCCTTCCTTCTGTCTCGCTTCCTTCCCTCCCCTCCTTTCCTCCTTCCCTCTCTCTCTCTCTCATCTCCCTTTCACTTTCCTCTTTATTTTTTTGTGGCTTGTTGGGCTTGAACTCAAGGCCTGGGTGCTGTCCCTGAGCCTCTCTGTGCTCAGGGCTAGCTCTCTACCACTTCAGCCACAGCACGGCTTCCAGCTTCTGAGTGGTTAATTGGAGATAAGCATCTCACAGGGACTTTCCTGCGGTGACTGGCTTCAAACCATGATCTTCAGATCTCAGCCCCCTGCGTCGCTGGGATTACAGGCGTGAGCCGCCAGCACCTGGCTTCTCTTTATTTTTGAATTCTGAATTCTTTTTTGGGATTTGAGGGGCAAAAATTCTACCACATAAGTCACACCCCCAGCCTTTTTTTCTTCATAAGCTTGAGGCCATCGAAGGTCTAGATATTAATTCAAATAGTTATTTTTATAAATAGCTTCACACACACACACACACACACACACACACATGTCCTTTGTTCCTATCTATTTTCCTTCAGGGGAACACCTGACCTGACTCTTTTTTTCTATAAGAAAACATTTGTATGATACAAGGTTATTATTTCCCTTCAAAATGATAGAGATGTGTCATCTACACTCCACAAAGATACATTTGGAGCTAGCTTATTATTTCTAATAAAAGTCATCATTTATTTTTAAATGTCACCATTTATACTTAAGGTCACCATTTATTGTAAGTTCTAGATGATTTATCTAACAAAGGATAGAGGAGGTTTTCTTTTCCTTGGTTTTGTTGTGGTTTTGTCTGTTTGTGTTTAAGATAAGAGTCCAGCTGTGTAGCCCAGGCCTGTCTCACACTTGAGAAGATCCAGTCTCAGCTTCTCAAATGCTGGGATTACAAGCATGTGCTACTGTACTGGTTAACAAGTCATGCCTAGCTTGAGATTTTCTTAATGTGTCGAGGAAACACTTAAAAATGTGAAATTGGCTTATGGGAATGACCAGACTCTACAAGATGTGTGGGGTGATGTCAAAACCAGGAAGACCACATAATAGACAACTTCTCCAACGTGAGAAAGAAATCCTAGGCATAAAAACTTCAGCATTTAGCCAGGCGCTGGTGGCTCACGCCTGTAATCCTAGCTACTCAGGAGGCTGAGATCTGAGGATCGTGGTCCAAAGCCAGCCCAGGTAGGAAAGTTTGTGAAACTCTCAT